CTCTTACTCAATATGAGATTTTTCTTCCTTAATTGTGCCTAAACTTATTACATATACTTTAGTATTATTTGTTGAGTGATTACTATGTACAGTTACCATTCTAAACATTTTACATTTATTATCTCATTTAATTTTCATTATCTCTGTTTTACAAACATAGAAACTGGGTACTAAATTACCTTTCCAGTTTTTTGCTGAAAAAACTAATGAATATTGGGATCATAAAATTGGATTGGGCAAAATGAAATTCATAGTAAAGTCACTTCTCAGTAAAGGGCATCTGTACTCCCAGACCACAGAAGGAAAGGATTTTTAATGATAGTCTAGGAAATGAAGCCAGGAAAAGACCAGGGACAAATTCATAATGGCTTTGCCCAAATTTCCATAAAGGGAGTGAAAGCCGAATACTCGAATTATGGTTCCTGGTCCTTAAGTTGGGTATTACTCATCTTTTGTAAGATTAGACAATGCATATCAAAAGTATCCATTTAAATGGTAAATTATACTTTTAAAAATCAGATAATCCTATAAAACATGACTTTTTAAAACAGTTATCAGGTACCCTTGTCAATTTATTGACTGAATACAGATTAGGTATAAACTTTACTTTCACTTTCTAATAAAACATAAACTAAATACATCTTATTTGATTTTTAAATACTACCAAGGAATGTTCCTAGGCTTCAATGTTATTCTTTCATAGTAAACTAAAATAATACAGAACTATTATCTAAGTATCTCTGACCAAATTATTAAGTAGAACCATATGAAATTGCCGATAGTCAACTTTATTTTACCCACAAAAATGGCAATTTCATATGGTTCAACCTAAAATAACAGTGAGAAAGAAAAAGAGAATAGGTAAACGAGAGTCTAACACCAGAGGAAATGAAAACTCTATTAATTTCTTCATGCAACACTAACTCCATAGAAATGCCTCAATTAATATATTGAGAAAATATAGCACTTGCCTAAAATTTAGTACCTGGCAGACACGCCCACCAGAATTCACAGATGTCTTGGATAAGCGGCAATTTCACAATAATTAACATCTTGGAAGCTAGCCTGATTCTTCCCTGATTTATTAAAAATAAAAATGTTTTTCATTTCTTTTCAAAATCATTAAATCATCTGGAATCCAAAGCCACATCAAGACCCAAAAAATTAGAGTTAACCTTTGGCCATGGCTAGACAGTGGTGGGCTGTAGTGTGTGGGCCGGTAAATGTTTGAAAACCAGCTCTCTGGTGGAAAAATGTGTGTGTGTGTGTGTGTGTGTGTGTGTGTGTGTGTTTATGTGTGTGTTTGTGTATGTGTAGTAAATTTTACTGCTATAAAAGGTGTGCAGCACACGTACAAATAATAAATACACAGTGCTCCACTGTAAATTGCCTACAGCCAGTTGATTCTCACAGAAAGCTTTTGTTGATTTTTACCAAACTCTTCTATCAGTAGCCAACTTATGGTTTCAGCTGGCAAACAAGCATAGGTCCAACATCCATGCTGAACATCCATTATCATATATGTTAATGAGTAAGACAAAAGTGAAACAATGAAGATATATATAAGTGTGAGTGTACTGACTTCACTCAATCATCAATGATGTGGGTGACCCCTTCTCTAAATTGGATAATACCTTTTGAATACTGAAAGAATATTTCCTCAATTCTCTGTGTTATTCACATTTTAACAGCTGTTATGGACTGAATGTTTGTATTCTCCCAAAATTCATATATTGAAATCCTAACTCCCAATGTAATGGTATTACGAGGTGGGGCTTTGGGTGCAGAGTCTTCATGAATGGAATTAGCACCCTTACAAGAAGAAACAGGAGAAAGATGATCGAGCTCTCTCTACCAAGTGGAGATGGAATGAGAAGGTGACCATCTACAAACCAAGAAGAGGACCCTCACCAAGAACCACATTTGCTGCATCTTGATCTTGGACTTCCCAGCCTCTAGAACTATGAGAGATAAATGCTTGTGTTTAAGCATTTATACCAGTCTATGGTAACATGCTATAGGAGCCCAAGCTAAGATAATGGCTATAGACACTACCTACTTTTAAGTTTAATCTGCATCATTAGCATTTTCTCTATCCCTTTTTTAAGTCTAGAAACAATTGACAAAACAATATATCAAGTCCTGATTTGTAGCGTTTGCTGATATCTATGGTGTAATACTACCATCGTGACTGAGTCCAAGCTTCCAATATGAAGTCCCTGAATACAGAGCTGGGAAGAAGTGTTCTAATTCCCACTATTTTGTAGCATTTTGACTACACAGACACAATACATGTAAATAACCTGAAGAGCGTAGCCTATAGTAAAATGCAGTAAAATAAGTAGGAGATAATGAATTTTGAGTATTTATTACCATTGTTTTTAATAATATTATCTAACTGTATATGTTTATGTAATTTAATTTTTAATAGTAGCTGTGTTTTACAACCAGCCCTCAAAATTCCCGATAGCAATTGGCTCTTGTGAGTACGTAAGAGGTAGCACACTACTAGGGAATGAAAAAATTTCCAATTCTACAGTATGTCCACAGATTTCAGCTATTAATTGCATTGTTGCTATCATAACTAAGGCTGGCATCATCCTGAGTCTATTTTCTAAGGCTGTGATAGAAAACCAAGGTGACTTCAGTTTATCTAGGTTTTTACATGGGGATATTAGAATCTAGCTTCAACTACAATCGATACATTATTCTGATTTATTAAAGTAGTAGCAAAAGTTCTATAATTTTTTATTTTAGAATTTTACTTTAAGAACATTTCTAACTGTATAAACTTTCAAGTTAAGAAAAAATGCCTCTAGATAACCAAAAATTTCCCATCTGATACTTTATAATAATGTACCTTGGAGGCACATGAAACTCATTACTATAGAATCTCTTAGAGCCAAATCTTGCCTCTGGATATTTAAAAGGAGTTAGGTTAACACAAATGCCAATAACATCTTTTAAAAGGCCTAATCATATTCCATGCTGTAGGGTGTAAGCTGAACAGCTGAAGAGTCAGAAAGAGAAAGAACTGCCTGCCTTTCCTACTTGCTTTCTGCCCAGCATCTATGGCATTTCACATGTGAGAAGGTGAGTGACAAATGCAATTTCAACTTTCCTCTGAAGTACAAAGATCTACTGATAGGATAAAAGACTGAATGACCGAGCAATATCAACTCATTAGTTGTATTCCATGTCCAAATGCTTTCCCCTAAAGCACAAGATTCTGGCCTCCAAGACCCATCTGTTCCTAATTTCTCCGCTGCCTATACTTCCGTGAAAATGAAGCTCACCCTCACACCACACTGGTAGAAGGCACCCTTGCTCTACAATATTCATTCCTCTTCTCGTTGCAAATACAGCAACATTTGAAAACAATGCACTTTCTTGCTTCTTTATACTACCACCAACTTCGTGATAAAAAAAGTAAGTCTCCAAATCATAAAATTTCATTTTATGTGAGAAAGAGGATAATAAAGATATTAAAAAACAGACTTGTACTTTAAATGCCATAATTTTTAAAATGTGAGTTGTTTTTAAATTACTTGTGACATCAGTTTTAACAAGCTGTTTATCACATAACATTTCCAGCCGTTAAACTCTTCAAAATGCTATTTAAAAAATAAATAAAACAAGAGATATACAAAAATCAAAACATTTCCAGTCAGCCTCAATATTCCAGGTAATGGTAGAACCATCAAATTGTCACAGAAATGTTCTAGATTGGATTCGTCCTTTTGTGAATGTTTTTTATAAAGAACATTTTAATGTTAATTATTTATTTATAACCTGTTGTGCTTCCAAAAAAAACTTACAGCAGCAATTAAATCAATATAAAAGTCACTCAATAAAATTGAACTTTTCATTTGGTTCTGCTTAAGGACTAGACACTCATTAAAAAAACTACATAGAACGGTTCCAAAATATAGCAAAGTTTGCTAACAGTAAGCTCTCTCCCAGCCAACCATTAATTTTAATATTAAGTCAGAAAACCCGATTTCCAGAAATGGAGTGGCTGAGTTAGAATTCAGTGTATACACTTCACTTAGTCCACCTTTTCCGTGACAACATGTTTTATGTTATTCTGAAAGTGCAGCTGAGAACAATGAATTAGAAGCTCCCTTATCTACTCATTTCTCTTAATACTAAAATGACTGGGGGTGGGATGGGAGAGACCTAGTTTTACCAGCCCAATGCTTA